TCATGAAAAGGATGAAAAGAGAGCAGGACTTATCGAAGTTATCGATTGACGAGCCGAATCTTCACTGCTAATCCAATCGTATACGGAAACACCACACTATTTCCGATTTCAGGTGACATTTAGGGTCAAAAAATGCTGATTGTTACTCGCTTTCTTGGGTTCTTGGGTGGAAACGAGCATCCCTTCATGTTTTCTGACCCGACAAATTCTGTGACAAAATCAACCCCAAACAGATAAAATTACCGCGTTCTGTACAGAAACATCGAAAGTTCTGTACAGAAACATCGAAAGTGCAGTACCTCACGAAAAAGTTCTTCTAGGAATAGCAAAGTGGTGTTTTTGAGGAAGTCCTGAGCAGTTTTGAGACGCCGTTGCTTTCGTCGGTACTTGCGTGAAAATTGACAATGAGGTGTACTTAAAGAGCATACTCACAGACTTACTGAAGCATTGATCCGACTCCGCTTTCTGAATCAGATCGAGTCCATCCAGATGGACAGCCCACAGAGCCAAACTCTTACAAGAACGGTGCCGACGCGAGCTGCACGATTTCATTAGCCTTTCTGCTCTCCAAATGTTACCCTCTTGACTCCTCTGTATAGTTCCTGATTAGAAGAGAACCTGTCGTGTTTAAAATCCTGGTTTGGAGCTCATGAAAGCAATGCTCAAGAATGACAGGGAAAAAGTGGAGGGGACTACCTGCGATCAACATGCGAGGAGACTTAAAAGAGATTATGGCCCTCTATCGATGCTGATGAGGGATACCTTATAATGTGATGGTAGCTTGTTGTTGCACATAATGTAAGCAAACGTACGAATGAATTCCATTATCATTCTCAGCTTGGAAACTTCAAATACATTGCAAAGAATAGGCGCCCATAATTTGAAACACCCTTTACATATCAATATAGCGATACATTAATATAATAGAAAAGGATAATTATGCGTAAACAGTTTAGAATTCCTAGGTGGGTGCCGCTAACCATGACAAAGTGTCGGGAGCAGGAGTAGTAAGAACTACATGTGTGTGGTCAGTATATCGGTTCCTTATCATGCCAAGCAGAGCCTTCATTCATCTTGGTCAGCTTACTACGTAAATGTAAACCACTACGTCAACCGAACTCTACTGTGATTGTAAATAGTAAGAGATGCACGGGACAATCCCAAATTATGGGTGACCCGAACCATTCGCTGAATTTTCAAACAATTTCCAGGCTTTTCTTAAATAGTTGCAGCACTGCAATGGTTTAAGAGACGGGAAAAGAGCCTGGAAAAATCTTGAATCTTCGAATCTAAAACAAACAATGTCAACAGATAACAGAGCCTTTCCAATCACCACAAACTCTTACTTTGATGTAATGTCTTTCCAATCACCATAAACTCTTACTTTGATGTAATCCAACAGAACAGTTATGAAGAGCGATCAGCCGTAATTCATTGCTGTCACTTTCACATTTGTAGTGGCCCATAACAATGTGATTCTCGTTCAACTGTTTTTCAAGGCCGCACGTAAAGGAGGCGTTGCACTCTAAAAACTTTATTGATCACCGGGTCAGTGTATCGGCTTGGAATTCCTATTTGGGCCCCACATATACTCTGCGATGGTTACCAAGCGACGACTTTCACAGAAGCCAGCGCATTATAAGGAGGAACCCATTACACTGTTTCGAGGTTGCCTCATGAGCTAATAGTAACCCACACGTAAATGGGTAGAATAAGAGCGGAATTCACTCACATAGTTACCTTGCCTAGCCTAATTATAGGCTGTCAAATCCGCAAAATTATACTATGATTAAGTTACTATGAATTGTTCTTCATCGTATTGCTCAATGCGATATGACTGAAACGAACCTTCATTAATCCAGCTGGCGATCCGTTTTCGTATCATCGTATCATTGAATCGTAGCGGGCAGTCCAACAACGATACAGTAACCCAATCAAGTGATTCCATAGGCGCTACCGTATCCCAGCACTGTGAGCACTCACACTCATAGTCTGTTCCCTGAATTATAAAAACTACTCAAAATTCTGTTCACATTCTCACGACAAACTAATTTTAGTATTTCGTGACAATGTGACTGTAGGGTATAACTTCGCTATTGCAAAAGAAAAATAATACTTCAGGATCAGCAAAATTGAATTCTCATGTAGACCACTGCAAATGTGAGAAATGCGTTTTCCTAGGTTATTTCCTTCTGAAACTTTGGCATTGATTAGCCGACCCTTCTGTCTCCATCAAGGACCGAATCTTCTACCCATAAAGGGAAGAATACATCACTTGTTGTGAAAACTCGAAAATTCACGAAGATAGTGCAGACTTGAGTCTTTTTCGTGTTTCTCAATAAGTCGGCTCAGAAAGGAGTATATAAGGAGCAGAAGATACTGTTGAGCTCAGCTTGTCAAGATTCATATGAGTATTTCCTACTATATTGAAAATACTTCGTTCCAGTTTGCGCCATGCATTTGAGTTCCATCGGAAAAGTAATTGCATGTACATGAGGGAGTTTGCTTTGGAGTGCACTATGTACATAATGTGAACATGATTGATTGTTTTGCTTAGTCTCCATAGTTCACTCCTCATGTGGAGGCGGTAGATGACGGCATCTGCAGTCTCCGTATTAAACACTCCTTTTTGAATGTCTCATGAGAATATGACATCAATTTCCGGCAAAACAGATGAGTGGGTTCTTTAACGTTTTCCAATTGTGGGGGGCTACTCATCATAAATCAAATTTTCTTTCTCGGTATGTCCCCAAACTTTGCTATCCGTCACGCCCAATTACAAAACTATGGTCTTTCCCTTTCTATCGACTTATTTGCAACTAAAGTGTATACTGTCGGATTCCCCGTGAAGAATGCTTTCTAAAAATATGTGTCAACCCGTGATGAAAACTTGGCTTCGAAGCATTTCCCTTCTTTATGCGTATTGCTGATCACTTTACTGATGAGCATGTTTGGACACGCAGGTGGCCGGAAACTGTAGTGGTGCGAGACTGGAATGAGGATTTTGAAGTGTTCTGACCCACAGGAGGCGCGGCACTGTGGGGCTAGGGGGCACGGGATTTGATTGGGGTAAGCAAGTGCGGTCGTGAGAAGAAAATGAACGTCCGGATCATGGTAATGAGCTAACTTCGCTTTTGCATAGGAACTCCTTTATACTCTTTCAAAGCAGTTCTGCACTTCCTGCAAATCTAACCCCCTGTGCCTATTCAACTGACCCCAGCTTCCCAGTCATTCGAACTGCCCCAAAACTCCCATTCAAAATGCATCACTTTGTCGCCACCACAGTACCCCGTTGGCTGTGAATCAAAGTCCCTCTAAATCCCCCATTCAAATCCCACGTTGTTATAGTAACTGGCCCTTGCGCATCCGAACACACCCAGCAGGAAACGGATCAGCAACAGGTCAATGACAGGCATGCAGCAAGACAGCTTTGAAGCCAGGATTTCATCAGGGATTGACTCATATAGCATCAGTGGGGCTATGCACGCGTTAGCGTGCATAAATAATACATATATCCACGACCGTTCATCTACGATGGAGTCATTCAGCGGGTTATCTGATGTATGGGATTGAGATAGTTCTAGCTTTGAACGCTGTGACCGTTCTAAGGGCTTCCGCTTGATATATTCATTTGAGGAGAAATATAAATGATTGATCATAGCCACGGCCACCCCTGTGTAAACTCGGCTCCAGCCGTGGATTTGACCACACCTCTATAGGCTCACTTTTTCCCCCACTTTAGAGCTTTTTTGAACAGAGTTATGAATTGTGTACTTTTCGAAGCTCTATGCTCTTCTCTTTTATTGGTGAGCTTTCGGCATATAATGCCTTCGTCAGAGCTTAATTACTTACAATATATTGCTGCATACAATCAATTACTATCAAATACAATACAAAACACATCGAATCATACCAAGTCAACCGGAAATATTGGGGGAAAGGGGGGAATGGACCTGTCGGCGGGGATCTTGAAGGGAAAATGGACGCCGCTCTCGTTCTGAGGTGACTATGTGTTATCACGTAATCAGTCTCAGTAGGTCATGCAACTCCTCTTTCGCATTGATTTCCGGCTTGATGCGGTATATTTCCCGTGCCTCCATGATTTTCCTTTCCAGTGGCCGTACCAAATATCTGTGCAAAACCCTCACATCGAAGGATGGAGCGTTTTCTTTCTCATGCCTAAGTGTACGGTGCCTGGAAAAACTGCTGTGTGGATAGGCAGCGGGATTGGCCAACGCTCTTCTATGTTCATCCAGACGAATCTTCAGTGGTCTCGCGGTCTCCCCCACGTACTTTTCTCCACATCCTCCACATTGAATCAAATAAACAGTGCTCTTGAGTTCACAGACCTTCTCTGAAGTGCAGTATCGACAAGACTGTTCGCGGCACCGTCTCTCGTAGATTCGGGATGATGTTAGGAGATCCTTCAATGTAGGGGGAGGTCGGAAAACAAGTCGAATGGGAAGCTGNGAGTTTCTGACGACGCGGTTTACCTCACGTGCCATTTTGTCGTTGACAAAAGGCACAATGAGGCTTACACCATCAGCCGTCCTGTGCGGGACCCAGGTCCTTGTATTGCCTTCGAAGTATCCGTTGCTTTCGAGGACACTTTCAATTTTAGCATCAACAACTGAATCCCTTCTCCTTCGTTTCCAAAAGATTCCGCACGACGTTTGCCTTCATATAAATAGGATGTGCGCTTCCAGAATGCAACAAGATGTTCGACGAGGCACTTTTTCTATACCATAGGTGTTCCTTATGACCTTCACTAATTCGTGTCTTCGCATTGAGGAATGGAAGGAATCCATCCCTCCCCGGATCTTCCCTTGTGAAGGTTATGTTAGCATCGTGAGAGTTAAGTCTCTTCAATGTTTCCACAAGGTCTTCTTCTGTCGTTCCGATAACGAATACGTCATCAATATAACGTTTGTAGAATAAAATTCCACTAGTTAATGATGACTTCTCGATGTGGTCCAAGAAGATGACCGCTAACACAGGTGCTACGCGATTACCCATGGCAAGGCCTCGTTTCTGCTGTAAAATTTATTGTCGAAGCAGAAAATGTTGCATTCCAGTGTTGCTTCGATGAGATCCTTAACTTCGCCGCGGGAAAATCCCATCATCGTGATATCGTCTTTGTTATCCTCGATGAGAGATAAGACAGCTTGCACTGCTCCCGCGTTATTCACATTCGTGTATGAGGATACTACATCAAAGCTCGCGTAGAAGGCTCCCGTCGGTACTGGACATTGGTGAAGCGCCGAAATAAATTCTTCAACATTCACAATGTGTGCTCCCACGTAACGCAAAAGTGGCGATAGCAAACGAACTAAGAGCCAGCTTAATCCGTCTGCTGGTCCACCACAAGACGAGATAATCGGTCTTGTCTTGATTTCAGTCCTTGGGAGAGTCATTGTGTCTGTTTCCGCCGGGATTTTGTGCGTCTTCACCAGGTAACGCCCACCTTGGTGCAAACCCTGCCCGCTCTTGGGGTTCGACAACATTTCTTATTTTACATATGACCACTTTTTTCCCGCGTCCTAAACAACATATTTATTTGTATTTATATCATTTTTGGAAAGCCGCTTCCATCTCATGGCATGCCCCACCCATCGTGGGCGAAGCTTCGTAAAATTCATGGATGCCCAGCACGCATGAGGCCCCGCTCACTCGCTTAATTTTTTCTGGCCTCCACGCCTTTGTTGATTTGAGTTATGATCCTATGTGGAGAGTACCTCCTACCGCCGGTGAATCCCCTCCACTTCATTAGTTGACTCATCCCTCACGCTTGCTAATTTTTTTCCTTGCGTCCGGACTGTTGTGGGACCGAATGAGAAGATCTGCCCAAGACACCGCCCACCACTGTGCATCCCGGACCCTGTTGGCCGAGCTCCACTGAGCTCAAATGTGATCTGCTGATCTTGCCCAATACTCAACCCATTCTAAGCTTGACCCGACCTCTCCAGATCTTCCTTCAGATAGTATCAAATTTCGTGGCAGACAGACAGATGCGAGCGCTTTAAATTCAGGGGGGCTGAAAAGCATAGACGCTACAGTTGCAAGCGTAACTTTAAAAGCACAGTTCACGATAATTTTCTGTTGCTAGCTCGCAGAGTTTTCCCGCCTCTTGATTGGTGTCACTTCAAACGAGTGTCGAGGGGATACAGATTGCAATTATTCGTTCTAGAACCCACACACAATCAGCTGATCGCAGAGTGATGAGGCGATGTTCTTCTCTCATTCTTTTTTAATCTGTTATTCTTTTTGCTGTCGCGATCCCTTATCTAATTTCATACCTCAAGAGGCTGAAAAAGGTGAGCTGTTTTTGTTGTTGCCAGAGTTTTTTTTGTTCACTTATGTTTATGAGTAGATGAATTTTTGCTTACCGTAATCAGATATTTGCACCAGGACCCACAAGCACGCATTGTACGAACCACGCTGTATCGCATTGATCCTTTGGAAACACCTATTTATGCACTTCCTTCGCCTTCATCGCGCTATTTTCCATCTTATCTTCCATTTTTCGTCATAATCTGGACTACCCAAAACTATCGTGAACTGTACCTTTAAGCTGAAAGCTTCACTTGACATAACTTTTTTTAACTCGATATTCTGTTTTTTCGCCGCAGTGCTTGATGCGAAAGTCTCACAGGTTTTTCGATCAATGAACAAAACTTCGGTTTCGGAAGGGGCTCGAACCCGTGCTTGTGTTTTCAGGCACCGTGCTCTATCCCTTACATACTACCGAGACCCCGCTTACCCTCGCCTTCTTAATGGCTTATTAATGATCATAATGTTTTCTTATAGCTGTGTATCTCACCGACTAAAAGCACACTTCTTCCCACTAAAACTGTAACTGAGCACAATGAAGGACATACGTTGGAGTGCTCATATGAGTGAAATGCCAGTGCGTTGGCGAGCGGCTGAAGGTGTAGCATCGCAGTCCATTCCATCAGGGTCAAATCGCTACTATGCCATTGCAGTACATGGGTAGGTTCGGAGAAGTGATTTCGCTCATTTAAGGCACAACAAAAAGCGAATTGGTATTTTACTGAGCCTGCAATTCGTTTCATGGCAAGTGCTTTCCGTATTCCTTATTAATAGTACACGATTCAATCATCTTCACAACCAAGGAGAGGATTCAATTAAGAGGAGCTTTCCAGACAGATGCATCTAAACTTTCGGTGCTCAAGAGTACATCCCATTTTTAGTAAATGTGGCCATCCAGCAATTTCTGATTTCATCCCGCACTTACGTTGAGGTTCACGACTTCCCTTACTTCATATGGCGTCGCGGCTGGAAGCCATCTCTGCGCTAGAGTTGAGATGCCGATCTCCTTCTCAGGGAAACGACTTTGACGCCGCTTTTATGACCGTTTACAATGGGTTGTAAAAGTCTCGCACTCAGCATGTCGGAGGGATTGCCGCTTTTGTAAAAACGACCGATGACCGGTGCCACACGGTGCCTGTATATCGGTTCCTATATGAATGACCACATAAAGTTGTACGACAACACTGTATCTGCCGTCATCGAGATCATTGCTGTTACTATGGAAATTCAGCATCTGTTCATAGTTGTTCCTGATATGAAGGGCAAGCATAAGCTGCTTGACTTATAATCTTATCAGATTAATGTAAATTAAAGTGTGACACCGTGGAAGGCCGAAGCCATCGGGAGGAGCAGATAGTCTCAAAGACTTCTGCAAATATCGTAGCAAGTGTATTCACTCGCTTGATATTATCAGAGGAGAAAAGTTGTGTGCACTCATACAATCCATGAACTGATCCCTACTAAGTACATATTTTCTGACCCAATATGGTTCCTTATATAGCTGTTAATTTGTCCAGGAATGTGTAACATCAGAATTATCATTAATCAGTTTCAATAGATCATTGCAGAGCCCACTGAGCACTCAAATACTCCCACCGAGCACTCAAAAAACTGTTTCCGACTTTCTGAACCCGAGCATGGCTTATATCTCGACCGCAAGGTGAATGATCAAAAGCAGCGACTTCTTCTTTTTTGAACCTTTTCTTTGGCTCTTGTTTAATGCTAACAAGGTTTATGTAGCAGTGGACGGTTGCCCGAATCAGCCTAACAAAGGCAAGTCGTACAGCCGCATTCGTAGCTTCCGTTCACTTCGGAAATGTTTTTTCGTTATAATTATGGCAGAGCCAAAATTAGTTATTAGTAATGTAATGAAGATTGAAGGCACCAATGATCGACCATTGAACAAAGAATGCAGAGGAATTTGTTGCTTAGCAGGATAGACAGCAACATGATCCGTAACACGACTGGAATAGTGGAAATATGAGAACTTTTCTTTAAAACACGTTTTGCACCAAATAGTGAGGTCCAGGGCATGGAAGTAGTTTGGCCTGAGATCTGATTGGGACTCGGTACGCTGGCCGGTCAAAAAATTATGTTTTGCCAGTGTGCAGTTTTATGAGTTTAGAGTAACCTATAAGATTTTGAAAGTTACAATGTAATTCAAAAAAGCTGACAGCACTTGACTGCTTTATTGGCAAAACTTGCTGCGAACAAATAATTAATATCATCCAGGCTGGCGGTTTAAGGCCCCACAGCTTATTAGCCATTGAGCCTATGTGACAAGGTCAGCTGGTAGGGATATGAAACGCTTTAAGATGCAGTCGGCGTAGCGAAAAAGTCTGGAAGTATAAGATTTCCAAACAAAAGCCTAGAGACGCCAGAGTTGCGGAAGTGTCTGCTATCCTTTGCCATATGCATCGTCTACTGATGGAATTCCAGAGAAATGCGGCCGATCAAGCATTTAACCCATTCAAACTCGTTCACTTGGTATTAGACTCATCTGGGAGTTAAAAAGGATTGACTTCGACAACGACCGACCACGCAAGTCGTTGTATAGGCCACACAACATTCAAATGCCGCTACGGTTCTGAACGGAAATCGGGCGCATCCTAGAACGCAAAAAACGTCAGCCTTATGGCATTCACATATTAATGTTGGGCGAAGCATTTTTATTGCTTATTTTTTACGCTGATAAAAAAAATATATTGTTGCAGTTGTATGAACCCAGGTATGTTTGTCTTCTGTATGTGTGTTGCAACCTAGTTTATCATGCTGTATTGTAAAGTAAATGTGGCATAAGTGAGTGATAAGGGGGGAGGTGGGCAGACGGTCGGTCAGCACCTCCGAAGGGCTGTAAACAAAGAGAGACAAGATTAAAAACCATTTGCACCAGCCCCCGGTTGTTTGGTTTTTGAGCTTGCACTGCCAGCACTGCCTCGGCACTCCGGCGGACTGTGAAAGCAGCCATTAACAACGCCCCAACACCTTACATAAATTCAAACATGTCAAGGAAGCCTACCTCTTTCGATTAGGATGTCGAAGAAGGACTTTCAGTCCAGATCAACGCAGAGACATTATGAGGACAAGCAAAAACAGCCCCGTTTATGTTAGGTTTTGAATGGGTTCCTGCGGCAACCCCTATCGACGACATCATGTGTGATGGAAGTAGGCGTGAATGTAGCAGTTGGGCAATTTCACGTGAGCAACATTGTGTGAAGAGTCCCACCATAATTTAGAGAGAAAATGGTCCAGAAAATGGTCGAGTTGTAGGCAAAACTTCTGCCTCGAACGGGAACGAAACGGCCAGCCAATATCAGCATGAGATCTGAGAGATCGCATCGCGAACTGTGGCGAAATAACAGTAGTTAAAAGAAACTCAAATCAGAACAAGTTGTAACGAGAAAGGCTTACAGCTTGACAGTTCACTGCTGATACTGCTGGTCAGCTCCACACGTTGTACCTGTGAGTGCTGATAAGCAATGGCATATTACCCACTGAGAAGGCAAGGGCAGCCGGGTCCCTGTAGTGTGGCGAGTAAGAGTACGGCGTGCGGATAGCACAAAAGCGGGTTTGAGTGCTGTCCGAGGCAGAATTTTTGTTTATAACTTGCTAGCCTTGTAAGACTTTCGGATCGCGTATTCCGGAGAAGTAAAAGCATTTATCAAAACATCATGTTCCGAGATAGTTTGAAAACTTAATGGAAGGGAAATCGATTATCAGGAGCTATAGAAGTAGGGACAACCTCGAAAAAAATCCGAGTCATCCAACAAAAGGTTTTAGGTCGCAACTATCTAGTTTTCCGTATTACTATATAGATGATAACTTGAATAAAAAGGCTAGCTGCAGCCGGCTTCTTGGAATAACTAGAACTGGTTTAAATTGAGGACAAACTAGCAATGCATTACTATAATATCTGAAGAACCCCTGACAAAAAGCGGTATTGAAAACAAGCAGGTAACCAGTAATTGATTACAACCGATTTTTAGGAAAAACTAATTTCATCGAACTCTTTTCGTAGAAAACCTTTCTATGGTTTTTCAGTGCGAGCATGTCTGTAAGTTTGATTGGTTTAATCATCTCAGTT